GACCTCGGGCATCTGCAGACCACCTCGCACAAGACACTATGGCAGTGCTTCCGCATGGCTCATGCAGGAATGAATGAATGGCTTGATGCTGCCTCTTGATTTATACTTCTGTAGGTCGCTGGTCTGCCCCTTTCCACCAGGCCCATGGTGCACGCAGTCCCTCATGGTACTTGCTGACTGTGCAAAGTGAGACTGGGACTGGGTACAGCTGACTAAGCGAAGTTGGACTCACCACTTGCCCACTTCCCTCTGGCCTGCTGTGAATAACGTGAGAAGAAACTTGAAAGGCCACTTCCGGACCTTCCGGAAGTCTGTGGACTTGGCCTTTCAGGACTGTAGCAGCTATGACCTTGACGTTCCAGGACTGTAGCAGCTACAACCTTGACCTTTCAAAATTGCTACAGCTACGGCCTCTGCCCAACTATGACCCCTACTCGACAGGTCTACAGATCGAATCCCTACCGCTACACAGATCTATGACAGACTACAGACAACTACCAAAACACAGGTCACAGGTTCAAACACACAGGGGGCGACTCGATACTGTACACGGGTGAGGTGAAGGTCTAGGGATCGATCCCTGGGATCTGCATCTGCCACTGCAAAGGTGAAAACCGTTTCACTCCCGCCGGCCTAAATTCGAGGTCCTCCGAGAATACTTCAGTCCAAGGCAGGACCTTTACCTTTCCTATCTCTCTCATAGGCTCGGACTATATCGGGAGCGGTTTCTAGAAGTTCTGTTCGTGTGAACCAGCAGTCATCCTTGGGTTCTTGAAAAGAGAATCTAACTTTGTACTGTTTCTCTGGACGACCTCTACCTCCTGTTCTGAAGACATCTTCATCGACTATGCCATCAATGTCATACTTCCCATCCATGTCCAGAGGGATCATGGACCGTCGTGATGGAAACTGTTGACTGGTGGTACAAGGCAGCAACTTTGAGGCATGAAAAACTGGGTAGGTGTGGAGGTGCGCTGAAATCTCTGTTGTGTAGGATGGTCCATCCTCTTCGCCCTTGACTTCTAGAACTGGCCACGGCCCTCTGTAAGCAAGTAACAGTTTTTGTGAGATGTTCTCCTCAGGCACAAACTCTTTTGACTTGACCCAGACTAAGTCGCCTATTTGGAACTGCGATGGGCGACGGTGCTTATTGGCTTGCTCTATCATTCTATGCTGGGCCTTCCTGAGGTTCTCTACAACGGCGGCAATCTCTTTCTCATGCTGCATCGCGAACTCCCTGGTTCCGGGCTGTAGCCTCTGAACCTTGTCCCGGTTGAGTCCCTCAAACGGTCTACATGGTCTAAAGGACTTATGCAATTCGTTGGGAGTGCGACAAGTAGCTAAGTGCACGCTATTGTTGTATGCGTTGGCTACCTTTGGGAGCATCTCATCCCAATTGACTTGATCTGGTCTAATGTACATTCTCAGAACTTGTTGCAGGATCTTGTTCATCTGTTCAGTCTGACCATTAGTTTCAGGATGACGGCGAGATGACATCAATAATCTAGAGCCATAGACTCTCATCAACTCCTGCCAGTTCTGACTAGTGAACCGGGTATCTCTATCGCTAACCATAGACACGGTAACCCGTGATCATTAACCCAATGATCAAAGAACTTTTGTATTACTAAATTTGTACGCGCCTCTGAAGGCAAGGGGACAAAAACTGCATACTTGCTAAATCTATCCACTATAACCATCACTTGGCTCTTGCCATGCCTACTCTTGACCCTTGCATCCATAAAGTCAATGGACACAAAATCTCCGGGCCTGTCAGGAATAGGCAAGGGTCTGAGAAGACCAAGAGGGGCTCACATAGTGGTATTATTTCGCTGGCACATCTTGCAACTGCGTACATACTCTATGCAGTCAGCCTTCATACTAGGCCACGTATACGCATGCATAAGGTTGGCTAATGTTTTCTGCCAACCGAAATGTCCCTCTGTGTCGTGACATTCCCCTAGGATCAAACTACGGACTTCCTCACTGTTGGCAGCACAGACGGTCAACTACGTAAGTCTTCTCAAATAGTAACCCATCGGTAGTGCGGTAATCTGGTTCTGTCTTCGGGGCCTCCTTCACTCTCTTGAGGAGGTCACTATAGATAGGGTCCTGTGCATATGCTTCTTTAACTTTTTGCTGCAGGTCTCTCCCTATATCCAGATAATGAACTATCGCTCCAAAGTAATCAGCCCTCCCACTTAGAGCATCCGCGACTACGTTATATTTTCCTTTCATTGGCTTGAGATCAAAGTCAAATTGATCTATCTCGACGGCCCACCTAGTAAGCTTAGGTGACATCTTGGCTTGTGTCTTCAACCACCTCAGCGTCTCGTGGTCTCCCAAGCAAGTAGTGCTTCCAGTGGTCTAGTGCTTGCCTGAGAGCGTAGAGTTCCCTCTCATAGGTTGATGTTGCTACCTTCTCTGAAGGCATCCTAGCAGACATGAACTCTACGGGTCTATATCCATTACCGTCATCTTGCTGTAAAACAGCGCCTATGCCGTACTGACTCGCGTCGGTAGTAACAACGAATGGCAAGGATGGATCGGCTCCCTTGAGGACTGGATATTCTATCAAAACCCTCTTCAACTTCTTCAGGGCTGATGTGCAATCTTTGTCCCACTTTCAGATTGCTTCTTTCTTTAGCAACCTGCGAAGGGGTGCAGCGATGGTGGAGAAGTTTCTCACGAACTTTCTATAGTAGTTGGCTAAGCCTAGGAATGACCGCAACTCTGTCAATGTGCGGGGCGTTGGCCAATCTCTAATCGCTGCTATCTTGCTGTCCTCAGGCTTTATGCCATCTCCATCTAAGACGTGGCCCAAGTACAGGACTTGTGTCTTGGCCACTTCTTCGCGTTAATCTTGAAGTTAGCTTCCCTCAGCTTCTCCAAGACCTGCCTCAGATGACCCTCATGCTCTTGGAGGGTCTTGCTAAAGACTAAAATATCATCCAAGTAGACTACTACAAATCTATCTAACCAAGGCCTACACAAATCATTCATATAATGTTGAAAGGTAGCCGGGGCATTGGTTAGTCCAAAGGGCATTACTATAAACTCGTAGTGCCCATATCTTGTTCGAAACGCCGTTTTGTGCTGATCATCGGGATGAACCTCTATTTGATGATAACCTGACTTCAAGTCTATCTTTGAAAAGTATTTGCAGCTCTGCACCCAATCTAGCAGATCATTTATACGGGGTAGTGGTTCTGTATTCTTCATTGTAATGGCGTTAAAACCTCTATAGTCAATGCACATACGAAGCTCTCCCTCCTTTTTGGGAACAAAAAGAACAGGTGCTCCAAATGGAGACGAACTGGGCCTAATCCAACCCTTTTCGAGGATCTCATCTAACTGCTTGCGCAACTCCTCTAACTCCCGTGGGGACATTCTATAAACGGCTCCATTAGGGGTCCTACTGTCGGGCTCTATCTCAATGTGATGCTGGATTGGCCACGGAACTACACCTATAGGCGGCTCAGACAAGTCCGCGTACTCCTCCAACAACTTGGCAGTAGTTGGGTTAGTGGGTTCCTCTTCCCCAGGCTCAGTGACTGGTCGTACATAGGCTACAAAAACATGTTCCTCCAATTGCTCCTTCTTCACTAAGTGCGCGAACGCAGGAGCATTGAGGCAGCAATGTGCCAGAGTGTTATCTACTCCTAACACATGAAATAGGCGGGTTGTCTTCTCTTCGCCTAATGGACTAGGGAACCTATACTCGTACTCTCTTAAATGGAGTGTGGCCCCTGCTGCCTCTCCCCAATCCATTCCAAAATTATGTCAAATGAGAGACTGTCTTCTACGAGGAGAGTCGATTGTCTGCGAGGATGCTAACTATAGGGTCTGCTAACTTTTTGACTTTCAAATTAAGCTTCAGCTTCTGCAGCGCCTTCTTCCTAATATAGCTGCGGGTGGCCCCACTGTCTATAAGGGCCCTTACTCTACCTTCGAAAATCTCTACATCTACCAAAATTAGTTGTCCCTTGGCATCTTTCTTCATTTTGGCCCAAGCAGACATTCTCTCCTTCAACTTTTGTGCCACGCCTGTGAGGGAAGTGCCTAGAGAGACTCTAACACCACCAGTCTCTGGACAACTATCTAGACACTGGCCAGCAACCTCTGCCATAGACACGTGTGGTTTGGGAGTTTCTTTGTGGTGCGCACACTCTTCTCCTCATGGTCTAGGGGTAGGGGCAATTGCAATCTCTACCGGCGGTTGCCTTTTGCTGCCTGTGCAGCAAACCGGGTTTGTCTATACTTAGGGCAGTATTTTATGATGTGCCCAGGATCACCGCAATAGATGCACTGGTCCTGGTCTATTCGCCTCTGCCACACTGTTTGTTCTAAGCCAGTGATTCCCAGGGCCGGCCCTCAGGCCAACCAGGGTGCCATCCACCCGACCCGGGAGGTGACCGACTAGAGCGACGACGGTTTGACGGGAGACCTTGACATCTTCCTCCCGCTTGGCGGTTTCCCCTGCCGCCAACCCCTTGGCCGCTTTTCCCTCTGTCACCAGAGGTCTGGCCCCTTTGACCCTGACCTCTTCCTCTCCCTTGCGGCCTCCCTCCGGCCGCGACAACAACATAGGTCCTCCCCTGACCAGTGTCGCTGTCCTCCTCATCGAGGCCCCACTCAATCTCGCTATATGGGACCTCTTCTAGACCACCCTCATCTAATGTAAGAATAAGGCTGTCTTTAGCCTTGACCTGACTGGTGATGGTGTGGCCTTTACACTTTTTCCCTTTGGTGAGGTCCTTATGCCAGAAAGTGGTGAGTGGCATGGACTGAGCCTCGAAGGCAACAACCTCTCTACTCAGTGTATCGTACGTCATGTTGGGTTGCTGCTTCTTATCAAGAAAATGCCCATGCAACTTCTCGGGCATAGCGCGGTAGAACAATTGGACCAATTGGGGCTCAGTGACCCCGTGGCCAGGAACGGCGACGAGTTCATCCATGGCAGCCTTCAACGCCCTAGCACTCTTCCACTGTCTTGTGTGGACAATTTGCAACTTGTCAGAGGCCTTGAGGCCCCTGGTGACATCTGTGAAACGCTCTCACAGGGCACTGAGGAATTCACTAAGGGGGGTAAGGATGCAGTATGCGACCATGCCATTCTCGCACTTGGCAGCGCGGGCTAACGATCTGGCAAAACTAACTGCTCCATCTTTAAGGGCATGAAAGGCCACAAGGATCAAATCCTCGTCCATTTTCTTGGCCGCCTCCAGTCTTCTTTTCTTCTTGCAGGCAAGGCGTAGTTTCCACTCTAACTTCTTCTCCTCCTCCATTGCCTGCCGCTTCCTGGGATTCTCTTCACCCTCCAATTCCCGAGCAAATTGTTCCCGCTCCGCCAGAGGGACAAGCAACAATGCTTCATCTTCCTCCCCCGGGGCTAAGTTGGCTACCCACTCGTTCACCATCCTCTCCATCTTAGATTCCGCCTCCATCTTGACTTTTGTCCCCCGCACTCCACTGGACTCCCCTCTCTCTTCCACTCTTCTCCTTTCCAATGGTTGCTCTACTTCTTCTTCTTCTGTCTCTGACTCTATTGCCGCCAATTTCTCCTCCTGTTCCTTTTTCCACTTCTGAAGCTCCTCCATTTGCTTCTGCTTGGCCTTTTGCTCCTCTATCAAGGCCGGCATCTTCGTCTGCTTAATAAGCTCCCTCTTCTCCATCTTCTCCTTCCTCTCTCTCAGGATGGCGGCGGCCTTCTCTTCTTGCTCTTTGGTGTATGGGGTGGTACTCTTACCGCTGCGCGTGTCAACCATGGTGAAAGATGCACAACCGAGTGACAGTTCCACTCACCACTTTCTACGGACCACAAAGCCTTACCCTTCGATCCAGCCAAGTTACCACGGGCGACGAAAGCTTTCACCACCACTGTCCTTTACAAACCAGACCCAGATGCCCTGCACCTGCGGTCAATCCCACTTGGCTTTCTCTCTAGATCAGGACCCTGTCAACTAGGGTCACTAGCCTTGACCTACTTCTAAGGCTGTCACTACAGAGTTCTACTGCTGATCAGGAGGCATTTAAGGAGATCCCCCATAACTCCTCAGGAATTCTTCAACGTCGCAATCAGAACGACGTAATCAGTAGAGCTCTCTCAACACTTAGACAGCTGGTTGTGCAGCCCACAGCTCGGATTTTGGGCCACCCATGCCACACTGTTCAGCCCGCCGGTCTGTACCGGTCCTTGGGAGGGTTTGTCCTCCGGGACGTGTCAGTCGTCAGACATGGAATTAAGCCCTCCTCAGCCTATGTGGGTTTGGTCAACGCAGCTCTACGACCTCATACACCGAGTCCTATCACCTGGACAGAAGAGACTCAATGCAGAAAGAAGAGACAGACAGACTCAGCAAGTACCATAGGGTGAGTGCACATCCATAGGGCGAGGGGATAGGCTGAAGGCTTGGCGAGAATATACCAACTCCATCTTGGTCAATTTCGTGGTCAACAGCTCTGGTCAATGCTGGTCAACACTTGGTCAACTCACTGGTCAACGCCTTAGTCAACGCCAGTCAACTCCCTAGTCAAAGTCTTGGTCAACATTGGTCAAGACCCCGGTCAACGCCTTGGTGAACCCTCAACTCGGCTATGGCTGCTCACCCCTTTCCCCTCACCAACCCTCTTTGTTCTCCTTCTCCCTCCTTTCTTCTTTCTCCTTCTTTCTTTCTCCTTCTTTCTCACTTCACCCCGGGTATGGCTTCCTTCGCTTTCGTCGTCCCTCTTTCCTCTTCCTTAGCTATGACTTCTTCTTTCCTCTTCGTCTCTCCCTCCTCCTTCACTCGTCTTCTCTGTGTCCGAGCTCGGTGGCTATGGCCGCCACCTTCTTCCTTGGACCACACAACAATCTTGTATCGCTCCTCTCTCTCTCTCTCTCTCTCTCTCTCTCTCTCTCTCTCTCTCTCTCTCTCTCTCTCTCTC